AATAAATGTAATGTAGGTTTAATTTTTTTTGAATGCTGAAGCTGGGGGCGGGGGAGCCTTGGGCATGGGAACAGCAAGTGTGAGTGTTGACAGCACTCTGCCTGCCCTGCCAGTCCCAAGATTGTCTTGAGCAGATTACTTTAGCCTTTCCTTCCTTTTGTGAAAACAGTGTATGAGTCAGGGTTCTCCCACAAAACAGGACCGATGGAGACAGAAGGGACTGATTGACTGATTTTAAAGAATTGGCTCAGCACTTATGGAATTAGCCAAGTCCAAAGTCTGGGGGTGGGTCAGCAGGCTGGAGACCAGGAGACCCAGCACCTCAGTTCAAGGGTGAAGGCTATGCCGTGCTCCGTTCCCTCTTGCTAAGGGAGATGCATCTTTTGTTCTATCCATCTGACCTTCAGCTGTTTGGATGAAGCTTATCCACACCAAAAACAGCAATCTGTTTTACTCACAATCTACTAACCTAATTTTTTTTTCCAAGCTAGGGTTGGACCCAGGATATTTTGTGTGCTAGGTAAGTGTTATACCCCTGGTCCTCCTTTGTTTTTTCCTCTTCCCATGTTCGTATATGTGCATGGTGTACGTGGATCAGAAATTGATCATCTCTAGCAACACAGGCCAGCCTGGATATATGAGTGTCTCAAAAAACAATAGGGGCTGGAAAAAAATGGCACAGTTCAGGTTAACAGCACTTGTTGCTTTTGCAGAGGACCTGGGTTAGGTTCCCAGCACCCATATGGTGGTTCACAACCATCTGTAACTCCAGTTCCAGGGGATCCAATGTCCTCTTATGACCTCTGCAAACACCAGGCACACATACACAGTGTACATAAATATACACATGGAAACACATACAAATTAAATTAAACAACAGCAACAACAGAATCAAGAAGCATTCCTTTCCCAGTCTCACCCCGCCTACAAGTCTAACATTGGCCTGGAGCACAGTCTAGGGCAGGGGGGGGGGTCTCCTGCAATCCTTACTCCTACTAGCCTCACTCTATACCCTCACACAGGCATACAATACACCCCAGCCCCAGAAATCCCTTGAAATAGCTTGAGGTCAGTGTTCAAGGCAACTCTACCTAGACATAAAGAGTATAGCTTTTCTCCATAGAATCTGGACAGTATCCCTGCTCCCCAGTCCCCTGGGTATACAGACCTCCCCTGCTTTGCTGTCCCAGCTTTATTTGAGGTGTGAGAAGTTCTCAGGGAACCTCCAGGCTTCCTCCTCACAGGTTAGAAAAGCCATTTGGTTTAGGTTTTATTGCTTCCAGGGGCCTCCAATGAAAATTTCTGGTGTTATCTTCCAATATAACTAAAGTCACAGTTACTCTAGTAAAACAGAAAGAAGGTATTTGCCATAAAATTGATTGAACTTTTGTTTCTGAGTTTGCATAAATATGAAACACAGAGTAGCCCAATGAATCCAGTGTGCCCATTACCACAGACCATGAAGGGATAAAATAAGAGCTTAGTTTCTGACATGGGAATTTCTATAAATCCTATAACAATTGCATGGTAGCAAAATTGGAACATTGTGTAAAGGACTGTTCATTTTGATTTGGGGACAAGGCTCAGTGGAGAAAGAGCTTGTATTAGGACAAGAGTTCAGATCCCTCGAACCCATTTAAAAGCTAGGCAGGCATGGCAACCTCCTATAGTCCCAGCTCCCAAGACAAGGGACAGGGGATTCCCAGGGCAAGCTGGCTAGATTGACTTGCCAGTCTGTGGACCTCAGATTCAGTGAGAGACTCTACCTCAGGAAATAAGAAGGGAGAGACTGAAGAAGACACTAGAGTTCAGCTTTGGGCCTCCAACCTTGCATGCACACCCATCTACCCACATACTTGTGAATATGCACACATGTGTGTATACCACACACGTGCCATACAGGAAAGAAAAGTATTACTTTGTTAAGTAGGGACTTGCCTGGTTTTCCCAGCTGTAGCTGAAACCTCTATAGATACAGGGCCCTGGATCTCTCTCCAACTGGCAAACGATCTGAATCCCAGGGAGGAGCTGCTGAGACCTGTGGGCCACAATTCCCACCCTGTACAGGCCCAGTGCTGAAGACGCTAGCTGGGTGTGGCTGCCCCTGGAAGCCCAAGGGAAAGCTTTGAAGTCTACATTGCCAGTAGTTGGCCTATGGCTGTTTGTTATAGATACTGAGAATGCCTAACACTGTGGCCAATTAGGAGCTTCTCTCTGCCTTGGCAGGAACTCAAACAAGTAGCATTTGTGGTACAACTTTTATATGTTCAACTGGCTCTAAGCTCTGGAAGGGGTGATTTGGGGAGCAGGATCCTGAATCTGACCCTCGAGCCCCCAGCACATCCATTTCCCTTGAAGGGAGGCAAAAAAAAAAAAAGTACCTAAAGGGAACAATTAAGTACCTGGGCTGTCTGCCTTGGGGCTCTGGCCATTGTTTGCTTTGGATGCTGCAGTATTTGTAACCTAAATCAAGGGCTGCACAGATTAGGCTGCTGGAATCCTCCAAAGAAGACCGGGCTGCCAGCTTCCCATTCCACCAGGGTTCCCACAGAGCCTGCCACCCAATGACTGCACAGCGAACTTCAGGGTATGCCCTCCACCGGACGCTTTCCCTTGCGCATTTGTGTCTGTCTCTCTCGGCATCTGTTTCTCTATGGGTCTCTGGCCCTCTCTTGTTTCCCAACATCCTTGCAGAGGCCCTGGGGAGCAGATCTGTGGAGGCAGGGGCCAGTGGGAACAGGACAGTGTCCGGTTCTCACCAAGGACAATAAGGGGCGGAAAGGGCTGGAGCCAAGGCCTGGCGCAGACTAGCCCTCCCGCCTGCCCTGGGCGCCCCCAGGTCCCGCCCTGTCCCACTGGTATGCCCTAAATGCCAGGCGCTCTTCATGCTAGTGCCTGTCCCTGGAGGGAGGCCAGCCCTGCATACTTGCCTCAGCCTCAATGTCCCCTGCCCTCTTGGAGGGTGGTATCACCTTTGACTCCAAGGAGCAGCTCAGGTCAGGGGCCAGAGGCCTCCCGCCAGGCCACACCGACTCCGCCCACAGATTATTTACTCCTGTTTCCGGAGTTGGCGGCGGGTGTCACCGCCACGTGTGAGTGAACAGGAGGAAACATCTGGCTCCCTCTGTCCTCCAGGGGGATGCCCCTCTCTCCCTCAGGTCTACTGGCTCCGGGGTACAGTCAGTCCCAGGAGCCCCAGGTTCCTTTGCCTCTTTCACCTTCATGTCTCGGAAGCCACCATGTCCTCGGGCCCCTTTACCTAATGATGGTGATTAGAGGCTGTGATATCCCTGCCAGGGTTAATTGGCAGGTCAGCTGTGCACAGCCTACAACTAGACACTCAGATAGGCTGAGTATAAAGCTGCCATTGGCGCCGAGCTGCCTTGTAAATGCACCCATTCCTGAGGCATGGGTCACTGTCCCTGAGGCACATACTGCCCCTGGTCCTACACAGTAGATCCCCGAGCACCGCTGAGACACCTGCTTTCTGGTCTTCCCCTCGCTCCCCTAGCCAAGGCAGTGATGCTATCTGCCAGGCTCCGCCCGACACTCGGGAGGCCTTACCCCAAGGCTGTGCATGCCCTACTCACCGCTCCCATTCCAGTTAAGGAGAAAGCCCAAGTCTGACAGTAAGATCTAGAACCATCCAGCTTCCCATAGACCCTACTTTGGGCACCCCCCCCCAACACACATACACAGTCTTCCTCAGGGGGCCCTACACATCACAACCTCTTAATTCCCTGCAGTCTCACTAGGTGAGCCAGGAGCCTAGAACTCCACCCTCAGGAAGACTGTGGTTTCTAGGGAAACTCTGCCCCACTCCCAGCCCAAGGATGGGGAGAGAAGCTTCTGCCCCTCCAGGAGGGCATCTGAACTATTGGCTTCCCTAGGTTGGCTTTCAAAGAACTAGCGCACCCCCTAGCGGCCCCTTAGGGACAATCTGCAGGGAGCCTTCTCCTCAAGTGTGTAGGGCAGATGAGCTCACAGCGCCCTCTGCAGGCATTTTGTGTAAACTGTGCAGGGCTCCCTCCACCCCAGGGACAGAAAGAAAGGTATGAGGTAGAGTGGCCGCTAATGCTCCCTCACAACTCCTTTGACTCTTCTAGTCATCTTTACTAGTCCTTATTCCCTAACCTTTAGGTGCCTCTGAAGAATAGAATTTCGTTCTAGAAGGACTGAAGAATAAGTTCTTTCCTTCAACCAACCTACAAATGTGATCAAAATGGGTGTTCACTAAGCCTACAGCATCCCCAGGAAAGGAGGCGCCTTGGTGTTCTGGAGGACAAGCACTCTGGCCAGAGCTGCTTCTCATGGCAGCACAGAAGACAGTCTGTGGGCCAGCTGCCTCATTTCCATGAAGACTGGCTGAAGCTAGTGGGCTCCCTGTTCTTTGATATATGTCGAGAAAACTTACACATTTCCTAATGTCTTGGACACAATATAAAAGGGGGAAACAAAATCAGAGCAAAGAGGCAAGGGCTAGTGATTAGCCTCCGGTCCTTGCTCACACTAGACTAGAAGAGATGGGTGAGGAGGGCAACATCAGTAGGGAACTTCTTCCTCCCAGCATGCGGCAAAACGATACAGGCAATCTTTCTCAGGGGAAAGCATGGGGAGCTAGAGTAAGTGTCCAGAGTGGAACCCCATGGTATAGGAATTAAGGGAGCCACTTGCACTGGAAGATCCTTTCTGGTTTTGAAGAATAATAGAAGACACCTGCCATCTCCTTTGAGCCTCTACACATGTACACATGTGCACACAGGTGTACATGCAAACACAAAATTAAGCAACACTTAAAAAAATCTACTCTGGTTCTCAAAGACAGCCCTTCCTGTGTTACACTCTTAGCCTTTACCCTCTCTCCTCACAGGTTAGGACCTTGAATCGTTGCACGTTTCTTCCACAGTGACTCTTGTAAGAAGTTCCGGACACTGCAGTGCCTGCCAAGCTCACACACTGGCAGGTGAGGTCTACAACTTATCAGAGCTCACAGACAGAACTACAAAGGATCAACTTTATTAGTCATTCAGGATTAGTTTCTCTTCTTGCCCTTGCCAGTGACTTTGGCTGGTGTGAGGACTGGCGCTGTTGCCTGGTACAGAGTGGAGGATATCTTGTTGATATAGTACAGACCAACCATGGAGAAGATGAAGCTACAGGATGAAAAGAAGACATTACATCAAGAGGCATGCTGCTAGCAGGGCAGACACTAGCTTCAGGGAAGGAATTCAGGTTTGGGTCTGGGAAATCAGGGAAGAACAAAAATAAGAAAACAGAGGAAAAGGTACATACTGTGAAGGGAAGGGAGGGCTGCCCACATCGTTGGGGGAATCCAGTCCCCAAAGACAAGGTGGTACCCCTTGCCCAACCGTCAGATACATACCAGGTGGTGACACAGACTCGGTGGATGAGGCCAGATGCAAAGAGCGCCAACAGCAAGCAGAGGAGAACTGGGGAGGCAAGAACAAGGAGGATCAGAAGGCTCCAAAGAGAAATGCAGAGCCGGAAGCATGCAGAGCCTTTCTGAGGGAGCTGCTTGAAAAGCTATGTCCTGGGGGCACACACCTTTAACCCCAGCACTCGGGAGGCAGGGGCAGGCAGATCTCTGTGAGTTCTAGACCAGCCTGGTCTACACAGAGAAACCCTATATCAAAACAAACAAACAAACAAACAAACAAACAAAAACAAGGGAAGATATGCCCTGATGAAAGTTAAGAGTTCAGACAGCCTTAACAGTGTTCTGAGCACAGAGGTAAGACAGATGAAGCTTTGTTTGGTTTTTGTTTTACTAGCTTTGCTCCACATCTCACCTTCCCCCAAACAAAACAAAACAAACAACAACAAAAATCCCCTTAAAAAAAAAAAAAAAAGAAAGAAAGCTGAATGCAGTGGCATGTGCCTATACAGATGAGGCAGAAGGACCACTTAAACCTAGTAATTCAAGACAAGACCAGCCTGGGCAACACCATGAGATCCTATCTCAAAAGTAGATTAATAAATAAAGTTTACTAGCAGGGCTTGGAGAATAAGGTTTGTTCCCAATATTTAGGAAGAAGACTAAGGCCTGACAGGACAGGAGAGGGCTGAGAGGGCAGAGAAGGCAAAGGGGCTGCACTTGCCCAGCTGGAAACAGCAGAAAAGGCAAGGAAAGGCAAGGGCTCTGTCCCCCAACAATGGCTCCTTTCAGCAAATACCAAAGACCGTGCATATGGAATGACGTTTAAGAGGCAGAAGTTCTGAGTGGTGGGTTCTGGGTGGAAGTTCTGGAACCCTGCAACAGGGCTATAAAGAAGACAGCAAAACCCAGAGGAGGCAGGGAAATGTGGGTGGCAATGACAGGTTTTGGTGTTACCGGGTGAGGCTTTCACAAGACTACAACTGCTGTGAGTCTTTAAGCATGTGGCCTTCCTTCTGTGATCTGGTCCTGATGCTGACTTTGCTTTGTGAATTCAATTCTCCATGAATAATTAAACCATCGGATCTCTATAGGAACCATCTAACAAGGATTATCAAAAACTTGTCTATCAGGACTGGAGAACGGGCCAGTTGGTGGAGGGCTTGCCTATCATGCTCAAAGCTAAAAGTTCCGTACCCAGCTCCATATAAACTACACAAGGTGGAGCTAATTCCAGCACTTGGGAGGTGGAGGCAGGAAGATCAGCAGTTCAAGGGTTCAAAGTCATCCTCGGCTACATAGTAAGTTCAAAGCCAGTCTGAACTACGAGGGAGAAGAAAGGGGTGGGGGGAGACAAGAGAGGGATCTAACATTGATCTCTACTCTCCTTTGGTTGGGAGTCCTGCTATCAGTAACATCCCAGTAAGCAGAGACTTCACAGTCCCCTCAGGAGAACTCTAGAGAAGGCTCAATTTCACATGGGAATCCCTCGGTGAATTTGTCTTGCTTTCTTTTCTCACGGGGACAAAGATGCCTGTCAAACATCACCTCAAGCTTAACCGTCTGCTTGAAACCTTTCCTGGGAGCAGGCCACATTTTCCTTTTTCTTTCTTCTTTTCCTTGTTTTTGTGCTTTTCTTCCAGCTCCAATGCCAGGAGCTGGACAAAATGCTTTATCTTCAAGACACTTTAGCATCTAAGCACAGGAAAATTCAGCAGCATCTTTGGGGGCAAGTTAAAAGAGTTCAATCAACTACCACGTTTTACTTACTTTCAGGGAAGATCTTTGCTTGGAAACCTTTACCAAAGACCAGATTCTCGAGATTATTGAAGGCCTGGGTTGAGGGAATTAAGGAGAAGCTTCTGCAACAAGACAGGGCTGGGTAGTAGGAGAAATACATCTTCTGTTCAAACCCGTCCCCTATCCCCTACCCCCACCCCCGCGCCGCCCTTATCCAGCAAGGGGAGGATACAGTCAGGGAGAAGACGAAAAGGCCGGAGCCCAGCAGGCCCCCCTGAATAGTGAGCCACTCGGTGGAGGCCAGCTGGCGGCTGTATATCTGCATGCCAGCGAAGAGCAGCAGGGACAGGAGGGAGGACAGCGCCAAGGAGGTTCCGGTACCGACCACTGGAGATGAGAAAAAGAGTCAAGCTAAGCTTCAGGCAGATTCTCTCCGGGGATCGGCCTGCCAACCACTTCCAAGCGCTGCGGTACTGCAGCCACACCTCCCCCACCCCCATGCCACGGCGACCTCCAGGAACCCCCGGCCCCGCACACCCAAGTTCCCGCCTGTCCCGAGGAAATGGAGCTCCCTGGAAACCAGGACACGTCAGCTTTACCGAGGCTACCGGGGAAAGAGGGCCACCCCAGCGCCCACCCCCGCTAGAGCAGCCCGGGCATCCCGCCGGTCGGGTTACCCATCACGCCCCGCCCGTGGGTCCAATCTGTGCCTCTGGCAGAGAAAGAGGGAGCCTAAGACCGCGCGGGTGTCTGTACGCAGGCGTCGGGGCCCAGCGTGGACTTGCTTTACTTCTTCCTCTAGGCGCCTTGGACGCAGCGCCCTCTCGCGGCAAGGAGGAAATAATGCTTCGAAGTGCATTCTAGGCCACCGCCCTGCTTGGTCTCCAGCCTTCTGTACCTAGGGCATCTGCTGCCTCTCAGGACAAGCTGCACTCGCGTCTTTCAGTCATGATCCCATGGCCTAGAGTCACCCATGTCTTTTTTGCTATTTATGTCATCTCTAGTACTACAAGTTCCTCAGACCCCCCTGCCCCACTCTGATCGCCTCAACGTCTCCCGAAGACATGCCCCACCCAAAATGTAGCGCTCTCAACCAGGAGTTCATCTTCCTGAAAACAGCCTCTCGCTTTACGTGAGTAGTATGACTAGGGATCAATGAAAGAATCTAATGGACGAAATGGTTCCTCTCTCCAATATCCTTCCATGCTATCCACCCCACTAGACCGCCTTAGGAGAGCCACGTGGGAAGAACTATTTCCCACCCCCTACCTCGACGGGCGCAGTTCGAGGCAGGTCTCTGGAGCATGCGCAGTGATATCTCACTCTCCCCACCCCTCCCTACACCCCACCCGGCTCCTGCATTAAGCCCCGGGTTCGCAGCAGCAGCCAGGATCGGGCACCCGGGGGCGGGCGGGCACAGTAGGGCCATGGCTGAGGGTGAGGATATGCAGACCTTCACTTCCATCATGGATGCACTAGTCCGCATCAGTGTGAGTTAAGGTGGGGTCGAGGGGAAGGGAGGGGCTGTAGAGGGGTCGGGGCAAGCCAAATCCTTGAACAGGTGGGGGTCCAGGAAGATTCTGGAATATAGAGAAGGGACTAGTTAAGACAGAAATGGCGAGGAGGGCGGAGATGCAGGTGTGCAGGGATCCTGGGGACAGCCGTGTGGTGAGTGCCCTAAAGATTCTGGTCTATTGGGGTGTAGGCAGCGAGAAGCTGCCCGGGCAGAGGGTAGGCTTGGCGTAGCAGCCAGCAGTGCACCAGGGTTATGAGAAGGGTCATGGGAGGATGATGGAAAAGCTGTCCCTAGGTGCAGTTCCCAATTTGGACCCCTCCCGACCCCCTACCCTACCACCCCCATCCCCTACGAGCTGCCGTGCAATCTGAGGTTGCCATGGCAACCCGTGCCCGTCTCTCCCAGAGGCGGTGCCAACCCTGCTCCCCCCCACCACTTCCTTCCCCCTCCCTCCCTGTCCCTCCCTCCTTTGTGTCAGCTGCGCCCCTGACCGGGATGGCTGCGAAGAGAGGGACCAAGGTGAGGTGTGGGGGTGGGGAATAGCCTGAAGACCCCTCGCCAAAAGGGGAGGGATACTTCCGGTGGGGAGGGGGCAAGTAGGCGGGGCGCTCCCCTTCCCCCCAGATTGGGCAAAGGGTTGCAGCAGGCCGAGTTTCTCCACCAGCCTGGGCCAGAGAGCTCGAGTATAGGAGGCGAAGAGGAATAGCTTGATTTTGGGAGCCTGGAAGAAATAGAAGTGAAGAATGGAGGATGGGAGCTGGGGCGGCCACGGGCCAGTGCCCAGCGGGTTCGGAGAGCTAGTGCACCCTGGCCGCGGGGAACAGTCATGTGTTGCTAGAAAAAGGGGCGGGGGACAGCACCCAAAAGTAGAATGGGTGGTGCCCTTGAAATAAATTTCAGGAGCAGACCCCTTACCCGGAGATGGAGACAGGTGAGGAGGGAGGACCGCCTTCCAGCTCTGCTGCATCGGGAGTGGTGGGGGTGGGGCGTGATGCTGGGGGAGGCCAGAGCTCCAACCATACCTTCTGGTTGGGCCTTAAGCTCTCCAAAGGGGAAACAGAAGCAGGAGACAGAGCTGGAAGATGTGTGAACCAACTAAGGCAGGTACTGGGCCAAGGCAGTAGGTAGCTTGTGCTGCCTTTCTTGGCAGCCAAGGGATCGGCTAAGATATGGCCAAGTGTCCGAGCTCTCAAACAACCTCCTGGTCCCTCCACAGACAAGCATGAAGAACATGGAGAAGGAACTGCTGTGCCCAGTGTGCCAAGAGATGTACAAGCAGCCACTGGTGCTGCCTTGTACCCACAACGTGTGCCAGGCCTGTGCTCGGGAGGTTTTGGGCCAGCAGGGGTACATAGGCCATGCTGGGGACCCCAGTTCGGAGCCCACGTCTCCTGCCTCCACCCCTTCCACCCGCAGCCCCCGCCTCTCTCGGAGAACTCTCCCCAAGCCAGATCGCTTGGACCGGCTCCTTAAGTCAGGTGGGCATGGGTTTTGTGGGATGGGGTGGGAATGCAGAAAGATGGAAGAGGGTCAGGGGCATCTGTCTGTCATTCTGGGGTAGACCTACTTACTGTTCATCTGGATTCTAATGAGAACTGAGCTCTGAAGTAATAACAATCCACTTTTTAATTGAACAGATGTTACCCACCCCCAGGCAGCTGTAACTCTCACCTCTACCTCCTGCGCCCTTCCACAGGCTTTGGGACATACCCTGGGCGGAAGCGGGGCGCCTTGCACCCTCAGACGATCATATTCCCGTGCCCAGCCTGCCAGGGCGATGTGGAGTTGGGGGAGCGGGGCCTTTCTGGGCTTTTCCGAAACCTGACCCTAGAGCGCATTGTGGAGAGGTACCGACAGAGTGTGAGTGTGGGAGGAGCCATCCTGTGCCAGTTGTGCAAACCCCCACCACTAGAGGCCACCAAGGGCTGCACCGAGTGCCGAGCTACCTTCTGCAATGAATGCTTCAAACTCTTCCACCCCTGGGGCACTCAGAAGGCCCAGCATGAGCCCACTCTGCCCACCCTCTCATTCCGCCCCAAGGTGAGCCAGTTCTGAAGTGGGGGGGAGTTTGTGGTAGTGCTAAACCAATGGCTGGGGGAGGCTGGCATTGGGCTTCCAAAGAGTGGTGGGCCAGGTTGAGTTTTTGTCTGTGTGTGTATGAGTATGTGTGTATGTATGTGTGTGTGCACGTGTGTGTGTATGTGTGTGTGCACGTGTGTGTGTGTGTGTGTGTGATAGAGAGACAGGGTCTTGGAGCTGGAGAGATGCTCCAGCTCTGCGATTGAGAGCTCTTCCAGAGAATTCCCGTTTGCTTCCCTGTAATTCCAGTTCTTGGGGTAACTAACACCTCTGGCCTCTTCAGGCACTTACACTCATGTGCATATTTCTACACATATACACATAATTCAAAGTAAAATATTAAGGAAAAAAAAAGACAGTCTTGCCACATAGCCCACACTAGCCTTGAACTCATAGCAATCCCCTTGCCTCAGTCTCCTGAGTACTAGAATTACAGACACACACCATCATATCTGGCTGCCAAGCAAACCCTATCTCTAACATTCACTGGACAAATGATTCAGTATCTATCGGTTTCTCATCTCATCTCATCTTCTACATAGAGATGAGAAAATCTACTCTACAATATCTATAACTGAAGGGCTGTTAATAGGATCACAGGAGATGTCCGTTGCCTTAAAAAGTGTTATCTGCCCAAGCATGGTGGCACATGCTTGAGGTCCTTGCACTTGGAAGGTTGAATCAAGAGACTTGGAAGTTGAAGGCCAGCCTGGGCTACACCCGAAACTCTGTCTCAAAAAAGTTGCTTATAGCTGGGCAGTGGTGGTGCACACCTTTAGTCCCAGCACTTGGGAGGCAGACGCAGGTGGATCTCTGTAAATCTGAAGCCAGTCCGGTTTATAAATTGGGTTCCAAGCAATCCAGGACTGTTACACAGAGAAAGCCTGTCTCGGAAAAACAACAACAAAAAGTGCAGGCTGCTGCTGTTGTAGCCATTGGGTACAATGGTGAACAAAGATGAACTACAGGGTTATATTGAGCATCATCATTGGTACTACTGCATACATATCTGTGTGAAACAGACACGGGGAGGGGCAATGCCAGTGGAATGGACATTACTTGGCCAGTTCAGAAGTGCTTTAATGCCTGTGCTCACCATCAGATGGTGCTATGAAGCATCACAACTGTTCCCACTCCCTGACACTGGAGCGAGGGCAACCAATCGCTGGTAGGTCAGCACCCTTACACACACCACTCACTGACTGTTTCACTATCCTTTGTACCCCTAGGGTCTGATGTGTCCAGACCACAAGGAAGAGGTGACCCACTACTGTAAGACATGCCAACGGCTGGTGTGTCAACTCTGCAGGGTACGGCGCACCCACAGTGGGCACAAGATCACTCCAGTGCTCAGTGCCTACCAGGCCCTCAAGGTAAAGACCCCTACTCACTCAGCCCCAGCATTAACACACACCGGCATACACCTCCTAATTACTGGCCTCTGCAGAGCCGGGAAGATGCTCACCTCTCTCTTTGCCCTTAGGATAAACTGACAAAGAGCCTGGCATACATCTTGGGAAACCAGGACACTGTACAGACCCAGATCTGTGAGCTGGAAGAGACCATCAGGCACACTGAGGTGAGGAAGGGCGTGGATGTGTGCATGCCCCCATTGCCTTGCTGCGAGTTCCGAGCCTACAGGAGGAGGGTGTGTGTGGGTGGAGGCTCTGGTTAACCTTCACAGGCAAGAACACCAGTACCCCGGCTTAGGCTCTGGCTAGGACTGCAGTGGGGGTAGGAGGGCTACAGCTGGGGACTAAGGAACACAAATGCCTGTAGGTTTAGCTCAGCATGGGCACAGCCCTGAAGCTAGGGGTGAGGTGAGGCACGAACAGCTTCCACAAGGCTGTCTGAATGAACTGAGGTGGGAATGGGGATAGCAATGGCATAGCTAGCAGTGTGCCATAGCTAGTGCAGTCCAAAAGTGGACATTAGAGCGATCGTGACCTTTCTTATGGAGGCGAGATATTAAGAGGTTAAGGGCTAAGGCAAAATATGCCAGGTAGCATAATGGTGATTTCAGGTTGCAACCACTTGAAGAGCTCTAGGCTCAGAAAGGGCTACTCGCTGTATTCTCAGACACACAGCAAGAAGGCTCTCCTTCACACACTAAGACCAAACAATCTTGTTTGCCAGACACTGGTATCGAGGCTGCAATGTACCCAAATAACCAGCTATTGAGAAGAGATCTTCCTTGCCACTGGTCTCTCAGCAGCGTGGCTAAGCCAACCCATATATCCACTTAGCAAATCATTTCTTCACAAGTACATTGCTCT